ACCCACAAGATCCACAATAATTGATGTTGTGTAGCCTAAATTATTGAAAAATAGCCCCGTTGAACTAAACATCACCTTGGTTTCAAATAGATCAACCACATCAGGTCTGTGGGTCCTGATAATCTCCTTGAAATTTTTGCGAAAAATTTTGTTACCAGCCCCCCGGCAATTCCATAGCATTATATTCAATGATGAACGGTTGGGAAAGTCTGGTAAAGGCTCAGAGGGACTCAAGCCTAATATTCCACGCACAATACTTTTACTCAGAATAGATAGACGCAGGGCTGCCATCTGAGTTACTTGAGGAAGCCTTCCTCTCACGCTCTGCCATCTGGGCTCTATGTTCAGTCGGGTTTCGTCTATCCACCAAGCGGTGTTTACTTGGTGAATTGCTTTGCTCCCTGGTTCGAGATATGATCCCACCGCACTATGCGTCATCTTGGATGTTTGCACTTCCGGCAGCTCCGTGACTGCGTTGTTGGAGTTTTCGCTCATGTTGTTGGAGTTCTCGCTCATGCTCAAGGTCAGAAGGGTGTTGTTTGGGTGTAATTTGAATAGCTAGTGTGTGATTTTCTGGAGGGGGAAGTGGTAGGGGGTGGTTGAGTAACAACAGTATTTGATGTTAGGGGTGAAGATGAGAGGATGGGAGTAGAAGAATGTGGTGCAATATTGGGAACCAGCTCACTCACCAGAGAATCCGAGGCAAATTCTGATCGTATTGCAGGTCTAGGTTTAAACACAGACATAGGCTTCACATGGGAAACATGCACTTGAGTTGAAGTATCCTTTATATCCTGAGGGAGGTGAATCCCAGTAGTGTTTACCTCTGGGCTAGAGGCCTCCGCACCTGGCTCGAGATTAATAGGTGCTGCACATGAAGATGTATTGTGGATGATATTGGTGTGGGTTCCTTGTAGTTCTTTCCCTTTCAACTTATCTTTGGTCCCATCCATTCTCTTTTTGTTAGTAAGTGGCCCAAACCTATTATTAGGCCTATGGTGGATGTGGGCACCTTCAGTTTGATTATTGCCTATGGGCTTACGAGTTCGTCTGGTAACTAGCATCCAAGGACCAAATTCAGCCTCCTCTTGTTAGTTCAGATGTGCTTTTGATCCTGATGCACTAGTCGTTGGGCTCTGCTCTAGTCTGACTTGAGGATCATTGCTATCCCCTTGCCTCGCCGGTGACGGAGGCGGAAGTGTAGCCCCTTTAATATTGCAGTACTCTTTCCGGTGACAAACCTTACCACAAGAAAAACAAAAGTAATGTAGATATTCGTACTTAATTGTGTAAGTATATTTACCTATGGCGAATCGCGATACTAGTGGTTTTGTGAGATCCACCTCTATACACACCCGAGCATATCTACCCCTAATTGACATGGCTGTATTCAAATCCACTTTCAACGGTCTGCCTATCACCTTAGCTATATGGTAGAGCACCTTTTCATTATAGTATTCAATTGGGAGTTGTGGAAATCTCACCCAAAGTGCCGTAGCGACCTCTTTGGCTTCAGATGGCTTAAAGTCATGTTCCCATCGTCTGACTGTGAGACAATGATCTATGATTATCCAAGGGCCTTCAGTGTAGACTCAGTTGCAGTCGGCCAATATTTCGAATTTGATCAAGAAGAATCCAAGGCCCAAATCGGTGGCTTCAAAGTCCCCTTGTAATCCCCATAATTTCTTTAATCTGTGAACCATAAATTTGAAACCTGCTGTTTTTCCCAATAGTCAAACTATGAGGAAATCCTTTCACGGTTTACGGATTGATGCAATCAGCCTTGGAGGGAGTTTGATTTTGGGTATTCTTAGTTCGACCCATACTCTTGTTCCTCGTTTGAATCTGCTCCTGCTCCATTGTTCTCTTCGTCAGAGAGAAATTCATCATCAGTAGAAAGGCGATCAAGGTCATTATCAAACGCCTTCTCATTATTCTTGGTTGCGGTGAGACCTTGCTTGAAGGAATTCTTGTTGCTGGCTTCGGGGAGTTTCGTTTCTTCTTCCATTTGGTGTGTTTCAATTTGTGTAGACCTCTCCTCCATCTCTTGATCATCTTGCTCAGCTGTGGTACTCTTAATCTTCTTGGTGCTGCGTTCTAGATGATCCTCTTCCTCCGAGGATCGATCGGTGACTTTGTTACCGTTGCTAGAGAGAGAGTGAGAGAGAGAGTCCATTCGGAGTTTAGTATATCTTTTCAAATCTTTATTGAAATCTGTAATCTAAACATAACCTTAGAGTGTAAGTAGTTGACTGATACAATTGAAAACAAAATGACTAAAATAAGATTTTGATAAAAGTACTCAAATGTTAATTGTAATTAATTCGTAAAACCTTAAAATTTAAAATAGAACACACTTTAATAATATGATAAGTATTAGTAATTATTTAATTTAAAAATAAAAATTTATTAGTTTATAGGGATATTTTTTTTTTTAAGATCTCTACTAATATTATTAAAAGATAGAAAAATTTACCTGTAAATCTCATCTTGAGAAATGGTGATTCGTTTAGTCCCAAGAATTTTTTTTATAGACCAATTAGTCTTATTGATTTTGGAAAGTTAGATTTAATATATTTTTTGTAAATTAGATTTACGGTTAGATATTATATATAAATATATATATATATATATTTCTTTTTGTACTTGAAAGGTAAGATACACAACCTATAGGAATTAAATTTGGGATTAATTTTTATATGAGAATCTTTTTTATTTGGAATGACTTGAAATGTGAGATTTTTCAAATATTTTTTTAAAAAAAAGTACAAAAATAACTTCAAATATGGGATTCTTCAAATATTCCAAAAGGATGTGAGATTTATCAAACATTTCAAAAGGAGTAGAAAAACTCCTTAGTAAGTTTTAGACAAATGTATAATTTTAAACTGTAACATTATAAAATAACACTCCAAAAAAACTCATGAGTGTACTTTTTTCAAATATAACACTCCAAAAAAATTCCTTAGTATAACATTCCAATGAAACACACAAAAAAAATTGCTTAGTGTATTTTTTTCAAACGTAACACTCCAATATAACACTCTAAAAAAAGGATGTGGGATTCTTCAAACCATTCTAAAAGGATGTGGAATTCTTCAAACCATTCCAAAAGAAGTACACAAATTCTTTAGTTTGTTTTAGACAAATGTATAATTTCAAATTATGAGTGTTACATTTGAGAAAAGTATACTAAAGAGATTTTTAGTGTTTTTGTGTGTTATATTAGAGTGTTACACTGAGGTGTTACGTTTAGAATTACATTGATTGGAGTATTACACTTTGAAAAAATACACTAAAGAGTTTTTTTATGTGTTACATTGGCGTGTTATGTTTGGAAAAAAAAAATACGCAAAGGAGTTTTTTTAGAGTATTACGTTGTTACGTTTGGAAAAAGTACACTAAGGAATTTTTTAGTGTGTTATATTGAAGTGTTATGTTATTAGAGTGTTACATTGGAATGTTGCGTTCTTATTCGTAATGTGAGATTTGTTCCAAAAAGAGAAGAAATTCAAAACCTTTATAATGTGGATTGCTCAAATGTGTAAATTCACATTTAGAGAAACCAACTTTTATCCTTCAAAAATTAAATCCAAATGTATAAGTGATTACTAAAGGGGCAGAGTAATAACGGTTCAGATCCAAGCCTTGGGTCGGCCCAATCCACTAGACCAAAACCCAAGTGGGCTAGGCGAATGTATAAGCCAACCAGCTAAGCCCATCTCCATGAAGAATGGCTTTTCCAAGTCCTCAAGCCCTTGGGCCCAATACGCAGTGAAAAGGCCAGGCCAACCGCGATGTTGGGCTGGGTCGGGCCGAGCTGCCAGACTTGATCTATAGATCGAATTGATGAGTCGAACCCATCATCAAAACCGAAATGGGTCGAGCCAACACAAAGATATCCAAATGGGCAAGCCTATCTCAACAAATAATCTTACAGAAGACCGAGCTAAGGCACATCGGTATTGAACTGAGAAGCCCCTCAAATAAACATGAAAGCTATGAATACGTGCAAAAGCAGACTGCCACCTCAGCTGGTCCCTCTGCTCCTAGAATTATGGAAGCAGTTAGCAAAGGGAATGTGGTATGTTATATGCATAGTTACAATGAGCACATGTATCTATAGTCAACTACCTTGAGGTCCCTCACCTTGAGCAATGTTAAGGCAAGTTTTGAGGCACCAAAGCTCCATGAAAACCATCTTGCGCAACAAGCAAAGTATTCTATATAAACCCCACCCTCTTCACATTGAAGGTAACTTAACTAAACTTAACTCAACTTGCTTGAACTAAAACACTTTACCTTCCTTTCTCTTTCGAGAGAAAGTTCCACATCTTCTCCAATCACTCATTTCCACACCGGAGGGGTTTTCCGGCCAACCCCGGCCAGACAACTACAATGCTCTATGTTACAGGTCCCCAATTCTCGGATAGTCTATTTCAGCTGCGGAGCTCCGATCCACTTTCATGTAGTGCGAAATCCAGTACGCACAATTGGTGCGGTGAACGTGGATTTTCATTTTTTAGTCTTATATCTGATTCCGGCAATGGGAACTGAAGATGTTCCTCTATTTGCATCAACTCCAAAAACGGTGAAGACGAAGGATAAGGGTCTGGCATTGCCAACGATTTTGGAGGAACAGACCGGAAACAACAACTAGACTCCAGATTTTGTTAAGCATCATCAACCCTTCGCCGGTGGTTCCTCCCACCATTTCCTTTTGGAAAGAGATTACCAAGATCTTATTATCTATTCTATGGGGATGGAAATACAAAAGCTGAAGTTATAACATAAGAAGATGATGGGTAATCCGATGGAGAAGAGGACCGATGAAGAACCTTCTCGTCTGCATTGACGAAGTCCATCTCTGGAACCACCAACAAAAAAGGTTCCTCGAAATAGTTCTAGGCAACGAAGTCAGCCAATTCCGGTGCAAAGTGAAATAGCTAGTAGCCACACCCGTGGTTTACGCCAGAAAAGTGCTAAAAGGCAAAAAACGGTTAGCCAGTAGACGGAGTATCCTCTTCGTCCTCATGATCTTTGTACCTGGTTGATTGGAAACAGAGAAAATGAGCAATGACAAGAACAAGAAGCTCAACATCTCGATCGAACTGTACACCAGAGAGAGCACCAAGCACTAGATCGGCACGTTTCCTCTCCCTTCTCTTTGGACATTAAAGCTTTGGAACCTCCTAAGAAGTTCACCCTGCCAAAGTTCACAACATATGATGGAAAATCGAATCCACTCACACACATCAGCCACTACCGACAGATGATGTCTCTATGGAATCGAAATGATGCACTAATGTGCAAGGTCTTTCCTTCCAATCTGGGAGAGTCCGAACTCCAATGGTTCGATCATCTCCCCGCTGGATCGATCTACGATTGGAAACAACTCTCAAAGGATGTCTTGGCCAGATTCGTCTCCAATACCAAAATCCCGAAGGAACTGGACACCTTGTTTAGCCTCCGTAAGAAAAAGAAGGAAACATTGCACAACTATGCAAGAAGATACTAGGAAGAATACAACGAACTAGAGGAGAACATCTTCAGTGAGCAGATGACAATGATGTCTTTTAAGCACGGTTTGCGTCCGGAAAATAAATTGAGACAATCTCTTACCAAGCACCCAACCAATACCCTGAAGGACTTGCGAACCAGAATTGAGCAGTACTCTCGTCTTGAAGATGATCAGGTTCCTATTGAAGTAGTATCATCTGAGCAGCCGAACCGGGGAGATTGATGAAAAGCAGATCAGAGAGAACCCCGTGAAGTAGTAGTGAATAAGATGGACAAATCCTAGTCACATGAAGCAATTATCACATTATTCAAGGAACCTATCTATTGCCTCATGGAGAAAATCAAGAGGAAACCATACTTTGTTTGGCCACAAAAGATGTCAAGGGATTCGGCTCTTCGTAACCAAAAGCTAAGGTGCACCTATCACCAAGATAGAGGGCACATGACTGAGAATTGTAGAGCATTAAAGATGATAGAAGACCTGGAGAAAGTTTGGTGGAGGAAAGTGACCTTGAGAAATATTTCATTATTGGTACCTCGATAGGTGCTGATGAGAAACTTCAATTGCTAGACTTGCTGAGGAAAAATATAGAAGTATTCGCATGGTCAGCCTATGACACTCCTGGCTTGGATCCTGAATTTGCTTGCCACAGACTCAATGTTAATCCTTCAGCTGGGCCCGTCATGTAGAAGAGTAGAAGATCCTCAGTCGAGTATACCGAAGTAGTAATTGCAGATGTGGATAAGCTCCTAGCAATAGGGGCAATTCGAGAGGTCCAGTACCCACAATGGTTGTCGAATACAGTAATAGTCAAGAACAAAAATGAAAAATGGAAAGTCTGTGTTGATTTTACTTGTCTGAACAAAGCATGTCAAAAAGATAGCTTTCCCTTGCTGCGTATAGATTAGCTCACCAATTCAACGGCCAGACACGAGCGGATGTGCTTCTTAGACGCCTATAGTGGCTACCATCAGATACCTCTATTTGACAAAAACCAAGAGAAAATAGTGTTTATCACACCCAGCGGCACCTATTGCTACAAGGCAATGTTGTTCAGCCTTAAAAACGCCGGAGCGATTTACCAGTGAATGGTAACTCAAATGTTCAAGGATCAACTCAGACGAACTATGGAAGCATATATAGATGACATGATGGTCAAAAGTAGGCACGCAACAAACCACCTTGTCGATCTAAAAGAAGTTTTCTACATCCTGAAAAACCATTAACTTCACCTCAATTTCTCAAAATGCATTTTCGGAATAGGAACAAGGAAGTTCTTAGGTTCATGGTTACTCCCAGATGAATCGAAGTAAATCTGGACCAGATTAAAGCAATACAAGAAATAAAAATACCAAAGAAGGCTGAAGAACTTCATAAATTGGATGAAATGGCAGCAGCACTAAACTGGTTCATCAACAGGTCCTCAGACCGAATGAAGCCTCTTTTCCAACTTCTAAGGAAAAAGGCAATGTTTGAATGGGAGCCCGAGTGCATTGAGGTGTTATAGGACCTCAAGAAGTACCTCAGTTCACCATATCTTCTTTATACTTCAGAACCAAGGGAAGAATTATACATGTATCTGGCAGTTTCAGACCATGATGTAAGCGCAGTTCTGATTCGCGAAGTGGAAAAAGAGCAGAGGCTAATGTACTATGTCAGTGAAACTATCCTAGATGCTGAGACACTGTATCTACCATTGGGAAAATTGGCTTACACTCTACTCATTGCCTCAAGGAAATTGTAACACTACTTCCAGGGCCATACCATCAATGTCCTTACTGAGTTCCCACTCAAATCTATCTTTGGCCGAGCCAATTTCTCGAGCCGAACAACGAAATGGACGGTTGAGCTTGGTGAGTTTGACATTCAGTATCAACCTAGAATAGCAATTAAGGCCCAGGTCTTGGCAAATTTTGTCACCGAATTCGATCTTTCCCCGAGCATCGTACACTTGAACACCAGCTCGGTACTGGTGCCACGCACCACCAAACTGGGAAAACAATGTGCTTCAAAAGCATAGAAACTCTTCATTGGAGACATGTGGTAACTTTATGTTGACGGATCATCCAATAACTGAGGCTCGGGGGTAAGGATAGTACTCATCTCTCCAGAGAGATTCACCTAAGAACAAGCTTTGAAGCTTGGGTGGAAAGCCTCTAACAATGAAGCAGAATACAAAACACTACTGGCTAGTTTGCACAGTGCCGAACACTTTAGCGTAGAGGAACTCCTGGTTTTCAACGATTCTCAGTTGATTGTCAACCAACTCTCTAGGATCTACGAAGCATGAGATGAATGAATGACCATGTACGCAGACAAGGCCAGAGATCTAATTAGGAAGTTTCAGTCCATACGAGTGGAACGGATCAATCAAGACAAGAACAACCATGTTGATACTCTAGCCTACCTTGGCTTATCAGTGGATACCAAAAATGCTAGAAAGATTTGCATTAAGTTTGTGCCAGAATCGAGCATTGCGTTTTTGGATTTGATCTTTTGTACAAACTTAAAATCGAGCTGGATGGACCCAATACTTGTTTTTCTAAGATCTGGCACTCCCCCCCAAAGACAAGAAGAAAGCTAACAAAGTTTGACATTAATCATCTTAGTTTTGGATCTCACCATCTGAGAAACTGTACCGACGCTCCTACCTTGGCCCCTATCTACTATGTGTGTATCCAAATCTAGTTGAAAATGTTCTCTACAAAATTCACGACGGGATTTGTGGAAGCCACATTGGTGGAAGGTTATTGACACATTGTGTTCTAACTCATAAGTACTGGTGGCCGCAAATGTAGAGAGACACACAATATTATGTTCAAAAATGTGATAAATGCCAGATGTTCGCTCCTTTAATCCATCAGCCAGCCAAAACTCTTACTCCGCTCACTAGCCCTTGGCCCTTTGCTCAGTAGGACCTAGACATTGTCGAATCTCTGGCACGAGGGATCAAGAATAGAAGATTCTTCATTGCTAAAACTAATTATTTCGTTAAGTGGATGGAAGTGGAAGCATTAACAAGTATTAAGGAAGCAAACACAAAGCGGTTCGTCATAAGGAATGTCGTGGTCTGTTTTGGCATCCCAAAGGCACTAATCGCAGACAAAAAAACACAGTTTGACGAGAAAATTTTCAAGAAATTCTACACTGATCTCAGGATTGAATATTAAAACTCCTCTCCGGGCTACCCACAAAGCAATGGGCAGGCAGAGTCATCAAACAAGACCATCATTAATGGCATAAAGAAGCGGCATGAGAGTGCAAAAGGGAAATGGGTCAAAGAGTTACCCCATGTGTTGTGGGCCTACCGAACAACAGCATAGTGTTCAACTGGGGAGACTCCATATTCCCTAACCTACAGAATGGAGACTATTATTCTACTAGAAGTTGGTCTCCCAACCATACGGTCAAAATTGTTTGAAGATGCAAGTAATAAAGAAGCCATTGCCCAAGCACTCGACATGGCAGAAGGCCAAAGAGAAGTAACAAGAATTAGACTTGCAGCCTACCAGCAGTAGCTCATCAAGAGTTTTAACAAGAAGGTTCTCCCAAGATGGTTTACACCTGGTGAACTGGTTCTGAGAAAATTTATGGACCATAAAAGGATACCTGGTGTAGGAAAGTTAGGTCCCAACTGGGAGGGGGCCTACAAGGTTATAGTTGTTGTTGGAAATGGAGCATACTATTTGGAAGATCTCAAAGGCAAAGTTATACCTTGACCCTAGAATGTAGCAAATCTCAAGAAATACTATCAGTAGTCTCTCTTCCTAAATGTTTATCAAGTGTAATGGCATATTCTTTCTTTTGATTAATGGAAAAAGTCTCTCTCTGCTTCCTTGAACCTTGAAGAAAGTGATAATCACACCACCTACATTTTCAAGTGGTGAAAAAATTGGTGAGAAATTACTTTTATGCGGTTTGATTGTAGAATTAATTTAGGTGCGGTTGTTATTGTGTAGATTGTTACTGTGAGAATTGTTAATAAATAGATTAATAAAAATTGTGTTTGTTTGTGTATTAGTGTAGTGATATTAGTTGGTTGAAACTAAATGTTTGAAATTACATAAAATTCCTTATTATATCAAATGTAACTTTGCTACCTATATAAAATTGAAAGAAAAATTATTTTTTCCCTACCAATTCTCCAATTCCATGGGATTAGAATAATAATTCTACATACCTCGTGAAATTGTTAATACTCTCCTTGAAAAGTGTTAACAATTCCAAAGGACGGTTAGTCCTCAGCCTTTTATTTTAACCAAATATAAATTTTTATGAGACCATGATATTACTAATCCAATCCTATGGCCTTTGGATTGAAACAAACATATGGCATTACTAGGGTTTTTAGTTTTATTGGACCATGTAACTGGACACGTTTCGTGCCACGCCATCCATATTTACTAGAATTCACCAAATAAACAATGCCTTCCACATTTACTAGAATTCACCGAATAAACAACAAACAAGACAAGAAGTTCTGCGAGTGTAATTACTTTTAATTATAATTGTCAAACTTCTAATTTGGTTAGATCACTTTAGAAGTGAAATAACACAAAATACCTTAATAAATCATAATGTTTCCAAATACACGTTGTGCCTATCCGTGAACTTTTTAGAGAACCAAGAAAATAAGAACTTAATTGTAATAGTCACAGGAGTAAAAAAATTATTTGAGTGTTCTAGAGTACCGGAGTGACACATCTAAAAGAGTTACCTCATTTGGTGAGGACTGATCTAACTTCAATGCTAGTCTTCCAACGGAGAATGCAGGCAGAGTTGGTTGAGGAAGTGTCACAGTATCGCTTTTTAGCATCATAGCTACAGATGATATAATAGGCCTATTTGCTGGGTTTTCTTGGACACATAACAATCTGATACGGATGCACTTCAACGCTTCGACTACCACACACGACTGCACCAGCAACGGATCCATCACTCAATCCTTGACCTTCACCACACCTTAATGTGTGATTTTGTGTGAATATGATCTAATTGATAAAGTCAATTAGGAATTTTCAAGGAAAATAGTCACTGAATTTATTAAAATTAACTCATTGAGTTGAATAAGTTTATAGATTTTGCTTATAAAAGCATGAAAGCATGACACATGGTGTGTTGGGATCGAGGATCCCGCCCAAGATCTTGTAGAAATTATACCAAGCAGAAAAAACACACCCACACCCAATGAGACACCATATTTAACGTGGTTCGGCCTCAATGCCTACTTCCACGGGAGAGTAGCCGGTTATCACTATAACAATGGAGATATTACAGAAAGCTTACAATAGAGGAGGAGCTCACACTCTCCTCACTCACCCACTCACCCGTCTCCCTCACTCACACCGAGAGAGATGGTCTCTCCACCTTACATTTCTCACTCTCTTTGGTTGCTTTTTCTCTCTCAATTAAACTCTGTCTTAGCCTCCATTTATACACTAACAGAATGGTGGAGAGCTTGGTTGTTCTGCACATGGCCAGCTCCTTCTCCACATGCTGCAGCTTCTTCCACATGGCCAGCACATGGGGAGAGATCACCCTCACATGGGGTGATAATATCCAACAAATCACCCCCTCAACCCATGTGAGGTGATTTACAGCACACATTGCTGCTAATCTTGTCATGCCCAAAATTCAGTGTAGTCTGCTTCTCCTCACTGAGACGTTTGCACCCCCTGAAGCTAGAGATAATGCATCAGAGATATAAGAAAATGAGGGAATCCTACATCCTCAACTCAACTCATACCACTTCCTGATTTGGAGAGAGCCTCTGCTCCTATCTCCCACAGATCTCTTCCACGTTTCCTGGCTTGGATGCCTTCACTTGCTATGCTTGAACTTGCGTAACCAAGATATCCGACACCCCTTGATTGGATGTCTTTCACCCCTTGTTGGGATGCCCTTGACTGTCATGCATTACCTCGCAGGACCAGTCATCGGAGCAATAGAAAACTCGTCGTTTATCCTATCAACGTCCTCTGTCTTCTTTGCTCAGAGCTTTTCCTCTGAACTATCAGCCTTTGCCTCTGCACTTCTGAACAACCTCCTAGCGTTTCCCCATACGCTTGTTGTTTGTGCTTTTGCAGTGCCTGATTTGCTGTCCAGTAGATTGATGGTTGACAGTAGCTCTATCTGTCAAGGCATCGTCAGCTATGCAATTCCTTGCATAGTGCTCGCACCCATGGCTTCTGGTCTCCCTGTATCGAGCTCGCTTGAGAGATCCGCATCAACTCTATCCTCTGCTGCCATGGAACTCAAGAAACCACCATAGAGAAAAAAAAAACTTGCCAATCCTTGGCATGCACTCCTGCGTTTTATCCGTCTCAATTTCTCTGTCTGGAAGTTCCTGTGAACTTTCAACAACCCATTGCTACATACTCTTCTCGCGCCTCTGTACGACACTGTACCCTTGCACTACTGCACGTCTGCATTTGTGCTTCTGCGCTTAGTATGCTCCTCTGCAACTATTGTTCTACACGTCTACATACCACCAGTACCTACTCATATACAGTAGCTCCAATAGCCACAGCATTTCCTTGAGCCTGTACTTGTTGCCAAATCATCTATCCGTCGATGAATGGATTTTTTTGATTGAACCAGATCTTCTGATCAACTCCGGAGATAATCATCTATGCAATCCTCTGATCACCCCCTAACCAATCCTGGTCTCCCTCGATTTTCCATTTAATCAAAGCCTGGTCTCCTTTGGTCTTCAATGATCTATCTCGATCTATATTTGGTTGTCCAATCTGGTCAGAATTTGCCCATTCTAACCTCTTTAGTGAATTCGCAGCATTCCACAATATCCGGCAACCTTCCTTCGACTATTGAAGATGACAAATTCCTATGTTTCGGCAATCTTTAAAAAAACCGTTCAGAATTTCACTATTTTGACCTCGTAGTTGCGTCCGAAGCGGTCCGTTTAGCTAGGACCAACCTTCGCTGCACTTCCGGGGACCTCATTGAAAATAATCCTCGCAAGTTGGGTCACACCACAATTTTTTGAAAATTTGGGGCCAAATTGCAATTTTCATAAGTTCAGGGAATATTCTGTGTTCCAACAAAATGTTCTATCCACTGCACCTGACGCCGTCTGCCACTTTAATCTTCTTACCTTTTACAGAAACTCCAATTCCAAAATTTGACTGTACGGATGTGTCCGGAATACTCCAAAAAGCTGGAAAGCACCATTGGATCGTTAGAAACGGACTCCGAATGGCTTAGATCAAGCCAAAACATCTCATATGCCTCAGATTTGTGGCTACACCTTAGCCGCGAAGCACTTGATCCCTATTCGCGAGCTGATGCGGCAGATGACGTGGCACTGATTCCGCTGACGTGGCGCTGACTAGTTTGATGACGTGCCAGCCACGTGGCCCTCACTGGCTAATGTGGTGCCACGTGTCGTTGACGTGGCGCCGCATGCGTGCGCGTGGAGGACATGCGCGATCACCCAGTCACCTTCTTCCTTCCTCCGCACATGTGGCGCGTGCACATGAGTGAGATGACGCGCGAGTTCTTCTTCACGGCGCGTGTGGCGCGTGCTGAGACTGGGCCTCATGCGTCATCTTCAGGAGGCGCGTGAGGGCGCGTCCTGCCTCCTCTAGGGCTCTACTTTGCATTTCTGCACTCCTCTCGTCGAGCCCTTGCTCCTTGTATGCTCAAAACCTGATTTCGAGCAACTTGATTTCTGGGCAGTTTCGAAAATCACACTGTTTTTGTTCCGAAACGCCACCGACGAGGCTTTGATACCACTTGTTGGGATCGGGGATCCCGCCCAAGATCTTGTAGAAATTATATCAAGCAGAAAAAACACACCCACACCCAATGAGACACTATATTTAACGTGGTTCCGCCTCAATGCCTACGTCGACGGGAGAGTAGCCGGTTATCACTATAACAATGGAGATATTACAGAAAGATTACAATAGAGGAGGAGCTCACACTCTCCTCACTCACCCACTCACCCGTCTCCCTCGCTCACACCGAGAGAGACGGTCTCTCCGCCTCACATCTCTCACTCTCTTTGGTTGCTCTTTCTCTCTCAATTAAACTCTCCCCTTAGCCTCCATTTATACACTAACAGAATGGTGGAGAGCTGGGTTGTCCTGCACATGGCCAGCTCCTTCTCCACATGCTGCAGCTTCTTCCACATGGCCAGCACATGGGGAGAGATCACCCTCACATGGGGTGATGATATCCAGCATGGTGTTCATATGAGCATTTTCCAAATATATATATACATATATATATAAACTAATAGTTTAATCAATTTGACTAAATTAAGACAAAATCACAAATTTATGGTCAAAATTAAGTCAATTGATATTACGAGGACCAAAATAATACAATGACAGAAATATATGGACTACCAGTGTAATTTGTGCATATTTTTTAAACCCTTTTTTTAATCTTTATGTTATGTTTAGATGGGAGATTTAAGAAGTGATTTAGAAAATGAAAGGAAAAAATGTGTGTAAAACTAAGTGAAATGTAGGTATATTTTATTCACATTTTACCTATATTTTTCTTTTTTCTTTCTAAATCCCTTCCCAATCTCCCCAACCAAGCACAGTATTCAGGGGTAATTACCCAAATCAATATGGATTCTTTTCAATAAAAAGTCCTCCTCCAGTTCAATTATAATAACAATTATGAGTATATGTAAACCCAGGTAGATTTGAGGCAAGGTAGTAGACCATATCATTGCCCCCCCCCATGTTGTCTATACAGAAATATCAAGAAATTATCATGCTTCAATTTTTCATTCAATGTATTTAATGAAAAATTGAAATTTTCATAGAACATGACTCTGCTCTGAATATATAACAACAACAGGGGGAAGACAAATAGATAGCAATATCTACAAATTTTTAATAAATACAACCCCTCTTATACACTTCACAATTGTATTCTAAAACTTTTACTAAAAAAGAGGTAAAAATATCTCTATTATCTGCGAAGTGTTTTTTGATGAATGGAATACATGAAAGTTTTAGTTTGAGCAAAATTTTACTTTGGTTCTCATTATTTTAATTTGAACAATTTAAACTCCACTTTTAGTTTTGTTGCAATGTAATCCCTCTGTCACTTGCTGTTAGAATTTCGAATGAAAATTTTACTTTGATCATCATAGTTTTAATTTAAACAATTTGAACCCCACACTTTTAATTTTGTTGCATTGTAATCCCTTTGTCACTTGCCGTTAGAATTTTAAAAGAAAAAAAAAATTATGTGCAAAACTACAAGACAAAAGTGGAATTCAAAAGAAACTATAGGGATCATCGGTGTCATAAATAAATTAATTATACTAATGGTCTTATAGTTTTTTTTTTTTTAATTTCACTTTAGTCCCTTTAATTTTGCACTTGATATTTTTATATTTAGAATGTTAAAAGTGCATAATGAAATGATTATATTGCAATAAAATTAAAAGTGTAAGATATAAATTATTCAAATTAAAATAACGGAAACTAAAACAACATTTTGTTTAAACTATAAAAACTAATGGTATAATTTACACTTAAAAAAGGGTATATACAGTGGCAAAGAGTTGGGACTTTTTGTCAAGAATGCAAAACTAAGGCAAATGGTCAAGTCTAATGCTACAGTACACAAGACTAGATTAAGATTTGAGAAAATTTTAAGTCAGTTTAAATTTTAAAAATAATTACAAATAAGTGGTAATTTTTTTAAATATTAATTATTGAAATTATAATCCTTACAATGATAGAAATAAATTTTTAGTCGCTTAAGATTTCGTAGTTTGCAATATATGATCTTTTTTCAGTATTTTATATTTTTAAGGTAGATACAGGGTTAGAGTCATGAGCAATGCAAAACTAAGACAAATAATTCTCGGACTGATTCAGTTTAATTTAGTTGAAATATATTATTTTATTTAGTCAAAATATATTCAAGCAAAACATTAAAAAT